TAAATAGCATAAATAATTTTTTTTATTTAAAAAATGAGGAAGAGGATATATGGACAACTTAAATTCCAATTCTTTTTTTTTAAATTAAGTCAATTGCGTACGGGACAATCAATTTACCAAGTTACAAATGTGACATTAAAATAACTTCTCCTTCCTTTTCACACTGCGTCACTGTGATTAAAAAAATTATAGAAAGTTGTATTGGATGATTAGATAAACAACTTGATGATTTATAGGTAATTAACAAAGGGCTCATGGGATAAGATAGACTTCTTTGCACATATATAGGACTTATTTTAGAATTGTTTAATACGGCATTACTATCACTAGCTAGCGTTGTTTAGAATGATGATTAATTATCATCAGATGCCATCAAGTTACCTATACAACTTTATAAAAAATCAAGTGGAAACAATCAAAAATTTGAAGAAATAGAGAACACATCGTCTTTCCCATTTTAATTCAAAGTGTGTAATTGTAAATTTAAAATAAATTTTTTCCTTTGTTTATTCTGGAACATATATACAATACCATTTCATTGTTATGAAAATAAGATCAAAATCCGCAAATTTAATATTCTTATAAAAAGCATAATTAAACTTCAAAGTGATAGATTTTTTGAAGAGAAATAGTCTAGGTGAACTACGAATTGGTTGATTATGTTGGATTTAATCTCTTTTTAAATTAAGTTACCTATCCAACACCCAAAATCAAGATCAATCAATGGATTCAGGTATAAGCTTCCGCTCTTTTAGATCCTTGTTAATCTCTCACCCAAAATCAAGATCAATCAATGGATTCAGGTATAAGCTTCCGCTCTTTTAGATCCTTGTTAATCTCTTTGAATTAATCATGGCTATCCGCTCTTTTAGATCCTTGTTAATCTCTTTGAATTAATCATGGCTATATGGTTTTTTAGATCTCAAGTTTTATGATGTAGATCTAACAGATTATAGTTGATTAGAAGTGGACACAAGTATTTTAGGGACGTATCAATATCGAATGTTCATAATAATGTAATATAAGATGCACATGCAAAGCGCTGCTTAATTTACATGCACTAAACTTAAGATCAAAAAACTAGATTGGACATCCAAATTTCAGAATGATCACTTTGTTCAACTTGAGTTGTCGGTAGATGAATAACTTCTGAAATAGGTTTGATATATACGCGAGGCTAGTACAGTAATGCCTCATTCGGGCCCACTAATGGGACCCAGGGTGATGTGGAATAATTCAGCCGACCAATTTGCAGGTGGACAGTTACATGCTGTCACGTCTCATACTGAGCTGGCAGTTAGTTAAACCGGCACCGAGTAACCCCTCCACTAGATTTGCATAATTTACAAATAAAATAAAAAATATCCTATATATAATTACTGAATTACAAAGACTTTCTTCAAGGCCCTGCGTGAGCTCGAGTAATTTCAAATGGTATAATGATCCAATTAAGGTTATGATGAAAAATTGTTTTCTTACAAGATAAGATAAATAAAATATAAAAGAAAGGAAAATAAAATAATATATTATTTCATATGTGTACATAAACAATTAATCCTACAGATCATAAATAAGCAATCTACATATCAAATAATATTCCTACCTTGTCATGAAATATATCTTCTCACTTAGAATATTTTTGGGTTGTGGGTGCACATATATATATTTATATACATAAACATACACATACAACCGTGACGGTTGCACGGTTGCAGATCTTGCCACTGCCCCGCCGTTTACATATAGTACCCATAGTATAATATTAGTTGGACAAGCAATATATTTTTTGTAACTAGTATATCATGAGTTAGTTGGAATACGCGAATGACCTTATTAAAGAATAGTGATTCAAAAATTCCCAGTGTCCCTCATGCTAATTTCAAAAGCAATTCTCATGTGATATTTGTAACAATGCACTGGATTTGATTTAAATCTTCATCTGTCCATGTATACTGGGCTTTAATCAATGTGCTGCATTGGATTGCGTCTGTCATATATATATATATATATATATATATCTATATATATATATAGAGGAATATGGGTAGTACTTGGCCAAGGATCCTTGGTAGTGATGTGGACACCTCTTGTCCATACATCACACCTTGAAGTTTGTGAGCTCGATCTTCAGGGTGTGATGTATGGACAAGATAGTGTCCACATCACTACCAAAGGATCCTTGGTACCAGTATACGTACCCATTTTCTCATATATAGGGTAGTCATATATATATATATATAGTATATAGTAGTATATATAGTAATATATTATAGTAATATATATATAAGTAGGTATGAATATAGTATTATTTTATATATAGTATATATATATGAGAGAGAGAGAGAGAGAGATTGATATGGATTATATTATATTATGATAGAGCTGATCGCAGCTCTATTTGAATGTTGAGCCCCCTACTAGACTGTTGACTAGAGGGCTACATGTTATTATTGAGTTGTCAGTGGCCCGCCGTGAGCTGGCCAGCTCTTCTTCATTTTTTCCATGAATATATATATTATAATATATATAATATATATATATATATATATATATATATAATATATATATATAATATACTGATATATATATAGGGAGAGTCCTAATAAAAACTACGTAGGCCTAAAAAGACTCAAAACCAATATCATCGCAATGGCTAGGATTCAGTCAACAGTCAGCAGAGCACAATGCATTAATTACTCATTAACAATGCATTCATTACCTCAACGCAGTGCATACATGATTCAGCTACAAGTGAATTCAGATTCATTACCTCAACGAACATCGGTCCTTCACTGCAGTGATCCAGATTTCATTACCTACGAACAGCGGTTTTGCACTACAGTGAATCCAGATTCATGCAGTGAATGCCCAGGTTCGTGTTTGTTGAGATTAATTAATCTGTAATTAATGCATGTGTCTTGTTGACCTGTTTTGAACTGACTCACAGCCATTGGATTCATAGATCCAATGATGATATTAGTTTTTAGTTTTAGGCTAAGGAGGGGTTTTTATTAGAACGCTACTCCCTATATATATATATATATATATTATATATATTATATAATATTAATATTGTATATTATTATATATATTATATTATATATATATATATATTATATATTATATATTATATTTATATATATATAATATTATATATATATATATATATATAAATAATTATTATGGAGAGGTTTCTAATAAAAACCTCCTATAGGCCTAAAAACTTAAAAACCTCCTCCTCCATGGCTAGGATTCAGTCAAACAGTCAACAACACTTGTATTAATTAGCATCATTAAACCATCATATTACATAACGCAAGATGAATACCAGATTCACTTAGTGAATCTGGATTCACTGCGTTGAGATAATTAATGAGCTAATTAATGCAATGTGTCTGTTGACTGTTTACTGATCTAGCCATTGGGATTCATTAGATCAATGGATGAAGGAGGTTTTAGAGTTTTAGGCTAAGGATTTTTTTAAGAACCTCTCCCTATATAATATATAATATATATAGATATATATATATATTCTTAAGCAGTTCTTTATCTATCTTTAACAGAATGTATTATATTATGTATCTTGGAATATCGGCTTTAAGATAAAAATTTTGGCTCTGCCACCGTATAGGCTTTAAAAATTAGAACTTAAAATTTTTACATCCCAAAAATTACTAATTTAATGTGTATTATTCCAAAAAATTTAAATTTGTACATATAATTCTTACTTCCGTCTAGATTGATATGTACATATAATTCTAAAATTTTTAAATTTGTACATATAATTCTTATTTCCGTCTAGATTGATATGTATATATTATATATATATGTACATTTAAATTTGTACATATAATTCTGACAGACTAGATGAAATTCTTAATTCCGTCTAGGTTGACTTCCTTCTAGATTGATCAACCTAGACGCAATTCTGTCTAGTTTGAGTCAACCTAGACGGAAGCAAAATAAACGGACCTAACTAGACGGAATTCCGTCTAGTGGAACTAACCTAGACGGGATTTGGATCAACCTAGACGGAAATTTTCGTCTAGGTTGCTCGTTTTTCTACTAGTGAATTTTCCATTGACCACAATTGGCTTTCAAGAGGTAACAGAATCATGGGGAAAAGAATTTAGCGGAAGTGTTGCAAATTTTATAATGGAGATTTAACCTATAAATAGGATTAGGGTCTTCACCACTACAAAAAAAGTATACAGAGAGTATTATTTTTATTGTAACCATTAATTTGCTTAACTAATGATTATAATTTATCTTTAGTTATAAATTAGGAGTGCAGTTCATAGGGGTTTGATGAAAGTGCTAGATTTTGAATGCGTAACAACCACAAATCATCACACAAATCAATGATTATGATAAAAGTAGCGAACTATATATCAACTAATTTGGTGTACAGCAAATCACAATCAGTGTGCATTACAAATCAACAAATCAACAGCTATGATAAAAGCAATATTCTCTTCGCTACTGTTTGATAGTGAAAAGATCCAAATCCCTTGCTAGGCCTACTTTAGTTTTTCATCACTAGCTAGTTCTTGCACAAGTTCTTTTCTTGAGCTCATTACAGTGGACATTTCTACGTTTGCTTAAAAAAAGAGCTTGTAATCCTTCTGTAGTAACAAATTTGGGTCCTTTCACACGGGTATAATCTCTAACAAGAAAATTAGAAAGGACTTTAATTATCCATATTCTCAAATAATCAGAAAAGCAGAAAATATTTTAAATATCGACCAAAAACACAAAGTACATTAAAAAAATATGATGCACAAGTTCTTTTTAGGATTAGCGGCGCAGCTTGTTGCCCGTTTGTCATCATCACATGTATAATATTTTCTATTTATTTTTTTTAAAATAAAATATAGAAAAAAACAAATGAAAAGGCCAAAAAAAAAAAAAAACATTCATCATATTCATATATACCATCATATTCTTTTCATTAGGACAAAAGAAAAATTGAGAAAAATAATAAGAATAAGAAGCCATACCTCGGACCGGAGGAACTCTACAAAAGCTCTCCGCAGAAAAGTAGTCCTCTTCAAACTCGAAGCTTTGCGTTTGTAGCATGGGAGTTTATTGTGAAAGTGGGTGGCCTTTTATTGAAACCGGAGACCCAGACTTCTGCCTTCTCACGTGAAAAACAAGGCACACGTGTCAATCGTATTTTGGTTCTTCGGCATTAAATTTGAGGGTTGTCGTTGTCCACGTCGCAGATTGGTGCGTTACTTGAAGCTATCGTGGGCAATTTAGTCATTGCATAGGATAGTTTTATAGGTTGTGGGCGGTGATTAATTAAGATAATTAAGGGTGTTAATTACTAACTTATGTTGTTGTAATTGTGCTCACGATTGGAACAAGTGGAGTCTGATTAAGGGCTCGATTTGTTGGACGGTGAAACTATTTGTCTTGAGAAATTGACAACTGCATTCGAATAGTTAAGATGATAATAATAATAATATAATATAATATATCATTCCCCCTTTAAAAGAAGGAGTACTAGAAAAACTTTCATTTTCCAAAAATGCCCTTCATCTTTTATGAAATTAACCAATTTACTCTATTATCATAGCTCCCAATCTTATTAAATCACATTAATTAAAGGTCTATACTATAGTATAGTTATTCTTTAGATTATTAGATAAATTGAATCTAAGATAATGATTAAATCAATTAACATAAAAGTATTAGGTTATCAAGTGTATGATGTTTTAATATACTGTAGGGATTATTATTTATGTAATAATGCAACTCCAATTAGATTATAATAGTACAAAATTATATTAAATATTATATTTTTAATAGTATAAGATTATAATTAAACATTAATTTTTTAGTGCTTATCAGCTGCAAATAACGTTTGTATCTCATCTAGAGTGGTTTTAAATAAAAATTAAAATAATTAATTTTATAACTCTAATTAAATTAATAAATTAATTGTTACTAATCGAATTGTTAACAATAACTTTGTGTTTATGTGCGCATTTGTAAAGGCATAGATGAAAGGTTTTATTCAGACTTCAATAGTTTATAGTGCCTAAGAGACACAAATCAAGATAGAAAATAGTTCACACTTTAATAGTTTATAGTGCCTAAGAGACACAAATCAAGATAGAAAATAGTTCACACTTCTCTAATTCTACCTTAAGTGGCCCTCGCAAAACTTAACAGATTCATTACCTTAACGAACACGTCCTTCACTGCAGTGAATCCAGATTCACTGCAGCGAATCCAGATTCACTGCAGCGAATCCAGATTCACTGCAGCGAATCCAGATTCACTTCAGCGAATCCAGATTCACTTCAGCGAATCCAGATTCACTTCAGTGAATCCAGATTCATTACCTCAACGAACACGTTTTGACAAGTGAGCTCCTCTTGATATTCCTTTAATGAGTGAAAATTTGATGTTCCTTTAACAGAAACATTTCATAAAGAAGAAAATTAGCTATTTGGAAAGCTTCTTTTCGTACATTAAGACATTTGACAAGTGAGCTCTTCTTGATATCTCTAACAAATTATCATGAACCCCTCCAACTTCCATGTGTTTTATTTCACTTCCTATATAATCTCCTTCCCAAGTCTCTCATCTACCACTCTTCACATAACAAATACTAGGTCAAATCAAATGATTAAAGTGTCCAAGTTCTACTTTTTTCCCTCTACTACTCTTTTTTGCTCTGCCAATGTAAGGAAATTGAAGGAAGACGTGGAGTTCAAATACTAAAAGACTCGCTTCTGCCATTGAGGCAAGCTCGGCATTAGCGGTGAGGTGAATTTGGTGAAGGTGGTTAGATCTATCTTCGCAATTTCTGTAGTAGGGGTCGGAGACGATGTCAGAGGAGGCAGAGGAGCTAGGTTCGATGAGCAATTGTGTTTGATTCGATGAAGATGGTGGGTCTAACAAAGGAAGTAGTGGCAGGTAATTTGATCGATGAAGGGGATGTGGATTTGGAGGTGATGATGAAGGTTTCGGTAGAGAAGGAGGGTGTCAGAGGAGCTCATGATGAAGTTGGAACATGAGTTCCGCCCATTCGCATTTTTTAGTACTTCTGTGCATGGATAAATACATTTATTTTATCTAAATTAAAGTTTCAGTGTGGTGTGTGTTGTCGTGATAGGAGAAACTCATTCTTATGCACATCTCTTTGTTTCTTTTTCATCTTATATATTGGGGTAAATTGAGGCAAAAAGATTTAGGAAAAAATATAATTCCACAAAAAGAGAGACTTTTTGTGTGCGATAGTCACCGAGTCTATCATTTAATGTTAAATTTTTTTGTCATGTATCATTTGCTTTAGGATGTGTAGTTCTAATTATGTTGATGTGTTTCATATAAAATTTTGTGCTACATATTCTCTATGGTTCACTGAAGATCCCAATAAAAGTACAACAAGTGTATATACATGCATACATACATAAACTATATCCCTTCAAAAATTTCACATAACATCCAATCTTATATTTAGTATAGTTAGATATATAGTTTTAAACTACAGTATAAAAAGTTTATACTGAAGTTTAGGTATTGATAATTAATAAACTTTATATCTATATTATATTATACATTATACTATAATTATAATTATAATCAAATAAACATGTACACTTAAAATTAATGTATGATATAAATAATTGTCATAATTTGATATCTTTATATTATACTAAACTTTATATCTATAGTGTATTATACATAAATAAAGAATGTATACTAAAATATATTTTAATATATCTATATGTAACTATACTATAATATATTTTATAAACTATACTATAACTTTGAATGGTACATTTGTTATAACTCAAAGCACATTGTTATTGATGTGGATTAGCATGACTTTAATGTCTGCATGACTTTAATGTCTAATAACATATACTAAATGCAATAGGAGTTACATTTTGTTATTAATTTTTATGTGTCATTAAGTTATTTTGGAATAGTATCCAAGAGTCACTCTTTTATGGTTCAAAAATTAGTAATGAATTCTGATAGTCTTTATTTGTAGCTATAAATATTCTAAGCATATGATGAAAAGAAGTAGATAGTATATAATCTTTAGATAAAATTGTTATTTCACTTGCTTCTATTTTTTTTTTTGGCTTTCAGAAACTACAAATGATGAGGAAATTTGATATAGTACATATCAAGTTTATATAATTCTACCTTCTCTTGATCCATCATGATAAATATTAGTCGACTTTATTTTGTCACTTAATTTAATCTCATGTGATTTTTGGGTACTTTAGGAAAATTTTTTATTAGTCGACTTTATTTTGTCACTTAATTTAATCTCATGTGATTTTTGGGTACTTTAGGAAAATTTTTGGGATCTATAAATGAGGAGAGATTACACAGTTTTATGTATGTTGTGTCTGAATAATTTCATCTTCTTTTACTTCATCACGTGAATTAAATTATATGCTCATTCTTGAGAAAATTTTTATAGTTTGAACCAGAGATGAATATTTTGAGAAGTAAGGTTATTTGAAGATTGAAACTAAGATTTGACAGAAGTTCCCATACTTAACCCCTTAAACTTCCAATTAATTATTTAGTAAAAAGAAATTCCAACTAATTAATCTTATAATTGATCTTCTCTCAAACAAATTCACGATCAGGCTTCTCAACTCTCCTCGGGTCTAAATTAATGAATAATTTAATTGATAAGTTGGTGTATAAAGTAAATGAATGTAGGAAGCTAAGGAACCAAGATCCCACCACAAGTCCAAGCACATCCTAAGGAGATATCACCTAGTTCGAGAAATCGTTGGAAGAGGTGATATTAGCATTGACCGAGTTGACACCAAGAACAACATTGCAGATCCATTCACTAAGCCATTATCACAGCAACAGTTTGAGCGCCACCGAGAAAGCATGGGTATAAGATATTGTGGCGATTGGCTTTAGTGCAAGTGGGAGATTATTAGGATTAGTGCTCTAAATCCAATCGCATCTGATGTAATTTGTATTATTTTCTATTCATTAAATAAAATTGAGGCATTTCATATTTATCATATGCTGCATACAATATTAAGTATGATGAAACCAATAAGTTAATGCAAATGGTTTTAGGGTCATAATGAGATTATGTCAGTGAGACCTAAAGCCCTAAAAGCTTTAGCTTAAAAATGTTCCTAGTTGTAGGGTCACTGAGTATGGGATCACTGAACCGGTAAGGCTAGTACACTTGTTATATACTCTATGGTAGAGGGTAACTGATCTCACAGTTACTTGTGAAGAGTCACTAATATAAAAGTGTAAGTGCTTATTGTAGAATGAGTTCACCGAACTGACTCGCTCGAGGAAGGCTTAATGGATCTATGTAAATGTCAAGAAGTTTTTCCTCAGGTGATAGTATGTGTAAATGATCCTTAGACCTGAGATTACCATAGAACCTTATGATAGTTAAATTGTGGTTTTGGTCTATTTCTTAATATGACTCTCTGAGACATGTGTAGGATATTCTGGACCCAATGAGACTATTATGAAGGTAATGAGTAATCAATATGGGATCGGTTACTCCTCGTATGAGGAGAGAATGTCCTATATGTTCTATCTAGTATTGACTCAAAAAATCTCTGGCCAGAGTAAGATGAAAAATCAGAAAAGATTTTTCGGTATTCATAATTGAGTCAGATACCGTAGAATTGTAATGCATATGAATAAGTAGTGAGATTGAAATTTTATCCATTCCCTAACTTATTCGGGACATTGTATAGCCGAAGGATTTAATTACACGGAAACTAGTCACCGAAGGGTGTTCGGTCCTTATGATTGAAATCCTCACTATCCGGGTAGTCGTGACATGTTGCTAGACGTCAATCTCGACTTGTGGATTTATCCGGTTAAGAGTTAATTAGATAATCTTATTAAAGAGTTTAATTAGATTAATAATTAATTATATAAGTATATTAAATCCACTGCCGGTTTAGTGTGGAACCCAATGGGTCACACACATTACAGGTATTTCTCGTAACCAAAATTTAATAGTTTAAATTTTGGTGGACAGTTAAATTTTCGCTAGCACGCAAATTGTCCATAATGGTCACAATCCTTATTTGATAAGGATATTACTTAATAAAATATATATTAGTATTTATAGAAATCTAATATATATATATATATATATATATATATAAAGTTAAAAAAAATAACATTTAATGTGTTTTTCGGTCACCTTCCCACGTTGGCAAGTAATCAATCTATGAGATAAGATTGATTCAAATTAAATGTTACAGAATATGGAGAGCCTCACTGTTTTTTTTGGGGAATTGGAAACGTGGAAAGGCCTCACCTTTTGGGGATTGGCTGTAGCTATTTAGATAGCTATATAGCCTACATCCTTAAAAATGTGGGAAAGACTTTTGAGTACTTGACTCCTTTTGTTTTTGAGAAATCAATTAAAAGATCAGAGACAGACTATTACAGTTGTGAGAAAAAGTTTCTGTGTGACCAAAAAGTAGAGAAAGTGTTTCTCAAACAGTACGAGAATAGATCCTGGTGTGGATACCGTGGAGGGCGTGCACGTGGACGCCTGTTGAAGGATCGACTCCGAGAAGTTCCAACTGCGAACGCGAGAATTCAACACAAAGTCTAAATCAGAGTCTTTGTAGGTATGATTTGATCAAACCTCTTTAGTTAAAATTTTAGATTACACCAAAGAGATCGCTGGTTCGGGAATAAATTTAAAAAAATATAATGCTTCCGCTATGCCCCGATTCCATCAAGGGTAATGCCCTTCATCTTTTATGAAATTAACCAATTATTAACTCTATTATCATAGCTCCCAATCTTATTAAATCACATTAATTAAAGGTTTATACTATAGTATAGCTATTTTTTAGATTATTAAATAAATTAAATCTAATATAACAATTAAATCAATTATCATAAAAGTATTAGATTATCAAGTGTATGATGTTTTAATATACTGTAGGGGTTATTATTTATGTAATAATGCAACTCCAATTAGATTATAATAGTACAAAATTATATTAAACATTATATTTTAATAGTATAAGATTATAATTAAATATTAATTTTTTAGTGCTTATCAGCTGCAAATAATGTTTGTATCTCATCTAGAGTGGTTTTAAATAAAAATTAAAATAATTAATTTTATAACTCTAATTAAATTAATAAATTATTTGTTACTAATCGAATTGTTAATAATAACTTGGTGTTTATGTGCGCATATGTAAAGGCATAGATGAAAGGTTTTATTCAGACTTCAATAGTTTATAATGCCTAAGAGACACAAATCAAGATAGAAAATAGTTCATACTTCTCTAATTCTACTTTAAGTGGACCTCACAAAACTTAGATTTTCTAATGAGTGAAAATTTGATGTTCCTTTAATGGAAATATTCCATAAAGAAGAAAATTAGCAGTTTGGAAACACTACAAAAAATCCGGTATTTAACGAGCAAAATTAGTGAAGGGGTCTGTTGCCCGTCATTAATGTGTATATAATAACGACGCTTTTAAAGCCCTTCATCGAGTTATCACAATTAGAAGAGTAATGATGTGAGATGAGATAACGGGTTTCTAATCCCTTCGTTGATTTGATCCTAATACCGTCGTTATTGGATCTCTTTAAAGATGAAGGGCTCTATTACCTTCATTAATTGTACTCCTAATCATAATAAGACTGAAAAGTTAAACTATTACTATTAACAAAACCCACTAACTAGTCTGAGGATGATTTCTATGTTAGATACCATACACTTCGGCTTCTAAGGAAAAAAACCCTAACCAACACCCCCCGCCCCCTTCTCTCTCTCTCTCTCTCTCTCTCTCTCTCTCTCTCTCTCTCTCTCTCTCT